TCTTCAGCACCAATCTAATAATTGAAAATGGAAACCACACTGATCTGATATCGTTGTGTAAGCAATATATATTGTGCAAGCATCGTGTACACTCACCTAAAGGATTATTAGGAACACCTGTTCAATTTCTCATTAATGCAATTGTCTAATCAACCAATCACATGGCAGTTGCTTCAATGCATTTAGGGGTGTGGTCCTGGTCAAGACAATCTCCTGAACTCCAAACTGAATGTCAGAATGGGAAAGAAAGGTGATTTAAGCAATTTGGCGTAAACAGAATGAGAACATGGATCCATCATGCCTTGTTACCACTGTGCAGGCTGGTGTTGGTGGTGTAAAGGTGTGGGGGATGTTTTCTTGGCACACTTTAGGCCCCTTAGTGCCAATTGGGCATTGTTTAAATGCCACAGCCTACCTGAGCATTGTTTCTGACTATGTCCTTCCCTTTATGGCCACCATGTACCCATCCTCTGATGGCTACTTCCAGCAGGATAATGCACCATGTCACAAAGCTCGTATCATTTCAAATTGGTTTCTTGAACATGACAATGAGTTCATTGTACTAAAATGGCCCCCACAGTCACCAGATCTCAACCCAATAGAGCATCTTTGGGATGAGGTGGAATGGGAGCTTCGTGCCCTGGATGTGCATCCCACAAATCTCCATCAACTGCAAGATGCTATCCTATCAATATGGGCCAACATTTCTAAAGAATGCTTTCAGTACCTCGTTGAATCAATGCCACATAGAATTAAGGCCGTTGCGAAAGGGTCAAACATAGTATTAGTATGGTGTTCCCAATAATCCTTTAGGTAAGTGTATAGGAACAATAGAAAATTAACATCAAATAATTAAAATTATGCTATGGATTTATACAAAACAACTGGGTAAATGATGATTTGATAAACCCAAATCTGCAGGGGTCCTCTATATGATATAATTTTTTCCTGCATGCTTTCTGCATGACTTTGCCGACAATTGTTTTATTTAATATTAATTTTTAACAATAATTGAATGATATTTTTCTCTAAGAAATTAAAAGGAAAGATTATGGCAAATGTTACATTTTTATTCAAGCTTTTTTTCACCCTGACATTTCTTTTACTTTAAAAAAAGAACATTTGTCACTATATCTATAAATTGCATTTTAATATCTTTTTTAAAATAATGTTTAAAAAACACATGCCACATTTTTTAAATATTTAAATATATACATGAATTAACTATAGTTAATTCTTGCTGGACAGAAAACTACAAAAGCAATACATCACACCTGCTACATTGTCATATTCAACAGCAACAAATGTTAACAGTGGTTGACCAGCTAGTTGTGAGCTAAGAAGCCTGATTGAGAGACCAGCATCCAAAACACACACAACATATGCTGGTAATCAGCCATTCTGCTCTTTTCAACAAAGTATGCACATAACAGGGAACATCACTTCCCCAGGACTGAAGCTTACGGCATTACATTGTTTAATGGAGAGCAGCCTATAGTTACAGAGACTCTGATTATCACATTTTTCCATGATGGAAGACATTCACATCAAAATGCTTCTTTGCGGTCATGGCTCGCGCCCCTCCGTGCTGCCTCAGCTTACAATAAACTCTAACAGTCATTTCCTGATGGACCTCCTTCAAAAGAATCTTTTAATGTGATTGTCAGATTTCAGCCTGTTATGTAGGCTAAGTGAGATTAAATTGAAGTACAAAACTGGGCTGGATGATGCGAAGCACATAACAAAGAGTCAGCCCGTCTAAATTGGCCCATGAAACTATGCATGCATTCTGGATCACTATTGACATGCATTGGTTATTTATTTCCATGCGCTATACAAACTTAAGGTGCCTATCTTTTCGAGAGGGTCAAAAAAAACAAACAAAAAAAAACAATTAGCCTAAATCACACTCTGGCGTATCCATTTAGCATGCAGCAATGAAATGACATAGGCTAACCAATATTTTTTTGTGATGCATCACCTGCATGATGAAGGAGCTGAGCTTGCATTGCTTTCACCTTGGTCTAATTTGCCCGGTCAGGGTGACTCTTGCTGACTGCATTTCTATAACATAGATCTCTCTCAATCTACAGTAGAAAGGCTATCACAGACACCCTATGTGTGTGTGACTGTGAGAGTGTGTGTGTGCGCGCATGTTCTGTCCTTACGTGACCCTGGATTAGCCTGCATGTCATTTGCCGACAGTGACTGCAGTGAATGGCCTGTCTACTAAATGTATACTTGAAATGACCCTATATGAAATCACTTTGCACAATTCAGAAAAACACGTGAGGTAAACTGCTGATTTGACAAAGCCTCAAGTCTCATTCTCTTTTCAAATTACATACTCGTTGGATTTATGATTCATGCATGAAATGACATTCATCGGGTAAAGGGATTTATATACCCGGGCAAAATTGTTGAAATTAAAAGAACAAATATTGCACTTATTTGTTATTTATTCTACTACTCTAATCAATTTACTTGTATTTTTTTTTATCAATTTACTAAATATATATGCATATATACCATTAATTGACCAGGCTGGTATATTAAAAAAAATCCCAGAAAAAAGTTTCAGAATGAAACGTGAAAATGAACGTAAACTAAACGCAAATTTACTGCTTTGTGAAAAATAAAGCAAAGATGATAAACGAAAAAGGAGAAAAAAAAATACAGGGTATATACACAAGAGTTGGTTATTAGTTGCCAGCATCACACCAGCTCCAGACAAACAATGACTCAAAACTGTCCAGCTACTATAGCTTATATTACAACAACAGCATATCTTCAGTGAAACACAGTAAAACCAATGTTACTCACATATGGAGCATGAAACATCGCAACCTTGCCATCCGTTTTCAGGCCTTCCTGCTTCAGTCTCTCTAGCGCTGGAAAGCTTTTCTAATAGTAAGGAGGGTCCCAAAGTTCTTTCCTGTTTAAAACCCCTTTTTCCAGTGATATTTCTCTGTCCGTTTGTCTTTAGTAATGTCTCTCAGCCGTCACTCTTTCTACAGTCTTTCTTCAAATCTCCCTCTTGCTCACTCTCTCCCCTCCCCCATCATGAGTGGACACGCCCCTTACTGCTGATTGGCAACAAGTGTGTTGTGCTCGGTCCGATCCACTTTCAACAGCGTTTCTTAGAAATCGCTTAAAGGCAGGGTGGAAAAATGGATGGCGCAAGCACAAATAAAGCATTTACTAAATGGTAATGGTAGTTTGTTTTGACAGATAGGCATATAGTACATCTTACTGCATCTTTAAGTCAGTAGAAATGCTGACTTAAAGATGCGATAAGATGCACTAGATGGAGATTCAACATTAACATCTGTCAAAGTGAACTACCAAGACCCATGACCTAAACCTACCATTTAGCAAATGCTTTATTTATGCTTAAAGTTGCTTGCTGCATCCATTTTTCCACCCTTCCCATTGGGCTACAAACGACATGATTATAGTCATTCTGTGTGACATACCACTTCCTCTTGCAGTGTTTTACTAAGGGGCAGGCTGACAGTTTCTCCTATTTTAACTTAATATTTAAGGCAAAAATAGTGGAAGGTCCCACTGGCAGAGTGCCAAATAACAGGTCAATCAGTCCAGACTCTGTGGCTTCCGTCCTTTTCCTTTCAGGCGCTAAAGTATGCCCTCCACCCCCTTGCCTAAACACACCCCACCTTTCACTTGTTCTTCACCATTTACTCAAACACTTTACAACCATTCCATTCTGGTTCATCATTCTGGGTGTTTCAGAATAACTTACATGAAGCAGCCAAATCTGAAACTCCTCTGAACATAGTAGTTGTGTCCCAAATGAAATTTGAGAAGGTTATTTTGTCATCCAGGAGCCCCTATACCGTTCTGCTATGTTAAGGAAAGCTGCAACAGTTTCTGTTAATTACATGCATAATGCGGGTACTTTAAGTGTGCTTTCTTTTTTGGGAATTTTCAGTGTGAACAAACTACTCACACTATTTATATTACAAAGTAACAAAGAAAAGTGCATACGCAAGCGAACTGGGACTTACCTAGTAAGTTTTCGTGATAACACTTTATTTTACAGTGTCCTTATTACACATTACATTTACTTACCATAGTAATAATGACAGAAAATTACATGCAACTAACCCCCAACCAAATCCTAAACCCTATAGTGAGTACATGTTGTTAATTAATATTACTCAGTACTTAAATCTATAATGACACTGTAACAAAGACACCTTAAAATAAAGTGTAACCATTTTTGTTTATGTTTAGTTCTCCATAATATGCTACCAGTCGTTTTGAACTTCATACTGACACCTACCAGGCTGGATGCATTAAGTTTATTTACTAACTGTTTCCACATCACAACACTGTTTATTGTGATTGTACATTTTATTTTGAATAATAATATGATATTGATATTTCTTTCAAAGGAGAGAGAGAGAGAGAGAGAGAGAGAGAGAGAGAGAGAGAGAGAGAGAGAGAGAGAGATGGACAAATAAAAATGCTATTAATTTATTATTGAATGCATCTTTAAAGTAATTTAAAAGTCTAATAATGTGAAGAAGTTTTTAAATATTTGCAATATGAATATAGAAAAACTATTTTACATCATGCATTAAAATTCACAAAAAAAATTATATAATAAGTCCTATATAAAAGGACTATCATGAAAATAATAAAATATCAGAAAATAAATCATGCAAATGAAAGAGTTTAAAAAATATATCATTCTACGCTTTGCTTGTATGCTAATAAATCACAGTTTCATAAACCCAAGCATCTTTGGAAAAAAACTGTCTGAAAATAAAAACAACAGCTTATTATTGTTAGTTTAATAACATTTATATTGACTTTAACTGCTAACGGAGCACTTTTACACATGGGCATACCATCCCAGACATCCGATCCAAGCTCGCTAGGGTAAACTTTACCGCAAAACTTGCATGTTAAACTTTAAGGTAAGTCCAATTCAACATGACTTGTTATCATCCTGGAAAGGATAAAGTACCCACCGGTGCATACGCTCAATAGAAGTCCGAGGAGGGGTAGAAGCCCATTGAAAAACGTGCTATTCCCAAAGATGTGTCTTACTTCCTCTGCCATGGTTTCTGACTGACTGCAGTAGTAGTGAGTTCCTCCTCGGTGTCTGATCCACACACACACAAACACACTCACAGCAGCCGAACCGCGCGTGGGCGGAACCTTGTCCAGCAGTGGTTTGTTTCCGACTAAAAATAAACTCGTCAAAGACGCAGGGGATTGCTTGCGATCCTATGCTTGCGATGCAGTTAGCGTTTACACTCGTTCAGAGACAGATTGATGGCATTATAATAGCAACAGCTTCGAATTAATGGTTGCGCAAAGTTAAAAAGCAAAAGTGTCCCGGGATATCTGTAGGCCGGGTATTTAAAGCTCCTTAATTGATATCAATAGTGTCATTTATGTTGTCTTCTTCAAGTTCATTTAGTCGTGCTGGAATGAATTTGCTCAAATGTTCCTTGTAACATTACACAACTGGACATTGGAATGGCTTGGCTCAATGGGGTGCTGGGAGATGTCGCCCAGTTCACTCAGATTAAAGAGTGAGCCATGCTGGGCACGCTTTCCATGATCCTTGTGTTTTATTTATGTCTTTCAAAAGTGATAAATCCCCAGCTGAGTGGTGCCATTTACACCAATCAATCATTTTTTATTGGTCCTCGGTTTTCTGAACGTTACTCAATAATGCAACTTCTGGAACTTGATACACATACAGACAAATATTTTCGTGGAGTTCGTGAATCGTGGAAAGAGAGAACATATCGAATTGATTACCTTTTAAGCAATTTTTAAATCATTTCTAACGATCGCAGAACATTAAAAAATTGAACATTGCTAGTTTGTTTTTAAAGGTGGTTATAAATTGTTAGAGGGAAGTTCGTAAAGATCGAAAACCGTTTGGATTCTCAGTAATCACTACAGGTCATTAAGCCTTTTAAAGGGATAGTTCACAAAGAAAATTAAAATGTTGTCATTACTTACCCTCAAGTTGTTCCAAACCTATATGAGTTTCTTTCTTCTATTGAACATAAAGGAAGATGTTTGAAAGAATATTGGTTATCAAAATATTACAGCACTCAGTGGCTACCTTCTATAGTCATTTTTTCCTATGAAAGATCAGGGTGTCGGCAGCTGTCTGGTTTCCAACATTCTTTAAAATATCTTCTTTTGTATACAACAGAAGAAAGAAACTCATACAGGTTTGGAACAATTTGAGGGTGAGTATAAGTACTGCCAAAGTTTTCATTGTTGGTTGAATTATCCCTTGAATGACTGGAATCAATGAATATGTCTGAGGACAGAAACATATCATATTGTGCTGTTATATACGCTGATACTGAATGTAACTTCAGTTTGAAGAACCTGTATTAAATAGCCCACATTTTGTATGAGTTTCAAATAAAAAGATACACTTTTTAGGCTGAAAGACAGTCTCAGTTACCAGTGATTTTTATTATATGGGAATATTATGCAATGAAAGTGAATAACAGGTTTCCATTCTGCATAACTTCTATTTTTGTGTCCAAAACAAGAAAGAAAGAAAAAAGAATAGTAAATGATTTTAGAAATGTAATCCATTTTTAGTGTACTATCCCTACAACATCTTTATTAAAGTCAATTACTGAAGGAACAGATTTTTGTATTGTAATTAGACTAAAATATAAATTCCCAAACGTTCTTTTCCATAATAAAGCATGCCATCGCCCTCTGTTGGTTAAAACTTTGAACTTCAACATGAAACTCACTAAATTAAAGCATCAATAACTGTACTTTAATGATAAAAAACATAATTATAATAAATGATAATGTCATTAAATAAGTTCATGTTTGAATGACACAAAATATTCAAGCAGTAAGGCACCATAATTCACTTCTATTGAATGGAATTCAAACATTTTGCAAAAACAGTTCTGAAGAAATTTTCCATTTATTGAGATAATAAATAGCAGGTGATCTCTTAAAAATATAAAACAGATTGATTGCAACTTTGCAGAAATACACTGAAATTATATCACAGGATGATGTGATATTACAATGTTGCATTACCTCATATCATGTAATTGCATCAAAAAATAAACAATATGGAAATATATACATAATATACAAATACCAAAACAAAAGTTATTTCTAAAGCAATCTATGGATCTTACAAGCTGTGTTAACAACTTTAACAGGTAATACGAGTTATTTTAAATATATTACATTTGTTAGACTTTAACCTGTTCTATTGTTATATACACACGTTATGTGGATTAAATTAGGCCTTTAAAACCAGGACCAAAATCCATAACCAATACTCACTGCAAAATGCAGATTCATTTCAAGGTGCATTCTGGATTCAGTCATACTCATTGAGTGATTCACTGTTTGCTACAGAATTGCAATTTTTTTTTTCTAGTCCTCACGAAGGTAGGCCTCTGGTATATCTTCCAGGTCATTAATGTCAATGCTGGACACATATTCAGCCATTCTCTGGATTTCTTCTGCTTTAGTCTCAGCCAGTTTTTTCTTTGCTTCTCTTGAGATCTTTCTAATCTCCTCCACTTTGGACTGTGCCACCTGCAGGTTAGTCTTTGTTGCTGTGCATGCATGCTCGGCCCCTGTAAAAATATCAGGATTGAATCAATTTACAGCCTGGATAAATCTCATGCAAGAAGTGTTTTTTAATGGATTGTAATAAAGGCCAATTGATAAACATACCTGAATTGTATGCTGCCTCTGCTGACAACTCACAGATGTGGATGGCATTCATCCAGTTTGACTCAAAGCGTTTACATGCTTCCAATCGATCACTAACCTGACAAAAGAGAGAAACATTGTGAAAGCTCTGAAATGGAGTCCTCTTCAATTAGAAAGAACTACTTCAGATATCAACAAGGTCTGCTAATCAGTCTTACAAATCATTATTCATCTTGTTGCAAAAGGTAAAACAACACTTATTAGATAAACGAAAGCAGACCTTGTTCTACAAAATGTAAACAAACAGTATTTACAGTACCTCTACTCGCTGGCCAATGATCACCTGCCAAATGCTGCCCTCTTCAGCAGGGGTCAGTTTTCCTATTGAGGTAATGTATCGCTTCTGAAGGGCAATGAGTGTATGTAGTGCCTGAGAAAAGTTGAAACAATATTTTAGAAATCAATCAAGTCTCCACATTGTGAAGTTTTACTGAGTGGACTATAGTTTTAAAATGGAGTGTTAAAAATATTACCTTTGCATATTGTGTGTGGGCATCCACAAGGGCCAGCGTTGTCTGAGAGAGGTATGTGTTGGCACTGTCTGTGACCAGACAAGAGGCCCGACAAATCAGGGATTCATGCGAGAGGTTTTCAACCTGCTGGAGAAAAAAGGGATGCGTTTCATTACACTTGCCATTATGGCACTTTTTTCGATTTTAGTTAATGACTCTTGAGTTGGTTCTTTTCGATGAATCAGAAATGTACAATGTGACAAGCTCCGAGACAATTTACTCTTTTGAGACGATTCTTTTTAGTGAATCAACAACGTGTAAAACTGAGTCAGGACTTAAAATTAACATGACTCGCATAACCAGATTAATCACATATTTCAATAAGAAAACCAATTGATTTGGCAACAATTATTAAAAAGTAGTGAATCATTAAAGGGATAGTTCACCCAAAAAATGTAATTGTCATTATCTACACACCCTCGTGTCATGTGGTTCCAACCCTGTATGAGTTTCTTTCTTCTATTGAACACAAAAGGAGATATTTTAAAGAATGCTAGAAAAAGTTGACTGTAGCCATTGACTTCCAGAGAAAAATCGACATGTAAGTCAATGGGGCCCACTAACTGTTTGATTACCAACATTCTTAAAAGAAAAACGACTGTTCAACAGAAAAAAGAAACTACAGGTTTGGAACAACTTGAGGGTGATTGAATGTCAAAATTTAAATTTTTAGGTAGTGATAAATTCAGGGTGATTGGACATCTAAATCGTAATTCACCTATCCCATGCTGTCAAAGATCGGCTCTCCATTTGTGAGTTTTACAAGCTTGTCAATTTCTCAGTGTCTATGGCGTAAATGCAAAATTTAAACATGTTTACATTAGTTACCTGTGTGAAAGGAACAGCACAGAGGCCGCTGCTGACACTGAACGCAACTGCTTTGGAGCGGGCAACCAGGCGCAGAAGACGCTGATGATGAGCGGGGCTGCTGCAGAACACATTGATCTTGGTCTTGTCCCTTGATATAACAAAATAAATTAGACTGAGTATATGACTTTAATTAAAATAACACCCTAACACGCATATCCACCACGACATTAAAACTTTAAAAAAAAAAATACACGCATTCTTACTTGAGAAGTTGAACGCACGTTGCGCTGAGTCGTAGCACAGACATGTTTCTCCGGGCAACCAGGAAGTCGGTCCGACCTTTAAAAAGATTCCCACTTGCACACAAACCACAGTTCCTAAAAGCCTGCATATTGCCTCACAGTCTTTTACTAATAGAAAATAAAATAATATTCGTAGATGTATCCCTTAAGCCTGTATTTTTCTTAAAGTAAAGCTCTTGCAGTTTTTAAAGTTGACAGCACTGCCCACCAGCATTTATATACTGCTAAAGGACTCTGCCCTGCATGCATTGATCCGTTTATTTGGACCTTTAATCTTGATTTTAGCGGTTTAAGTTCAAGGAAAGATAGGGGTTGACGCACATTTACACACTGCGTCAGCACAAATGTTGGATAACAGGCTGTGGTAAACAGTGAGTTTGTTCGTGGTTGTTTTTCCATTATGGTGATGCAGCTATAGCTATCGTACTTGTGTATTGAGAACAGAGGCCATTGGTGAGCATGGCCTGCACGTAGGCTACAGAAGGGTAGCCAATTTCAGAAAAGGAATATAAGAGACAATGGTTATTTGAAAGTAAGTGATAGTCAAAACATTTGTAGCCTATAGCCTACCACACAGCTCAGTGTCTATTGGTTCTCAGACAGGCTACACATTTGTTTTGCGTAACCTATTTAAACACAACTCAATCCTAAAAAGAATTTTAACATCAGAGAAATAAATGTCTAAAAATGAACTGAAAGTTTTTGTATTATTATACACTACCGTTCAAAGGTTTGGTGTCAGGAAGAATAAAAAAAGAAATGAATGCATTAAATTAGTCAAAGTGACAGTACAGACATTTTAATGTTAGAAAAGCTTTCTCTTTCAGATTAAAGCTGTTCTTTTGAACTTTCAATTTGAGCACACTTGTCGCTCGTCATTAAAATAACAACGGCCATCAGTGGTTAAATTAACGGGACAGGACGTTCCGGCTAATACGGTACAATTGGCAACCCTACCTACACGTTTCAAAGGGGTGTGGCAGAAAAACAAGTAAGTCATGATAAGAAAAAAATACTTAGTGGGCAAAATATAGCTATGCAATATGAGGAGCCATAGTTACTGTGTGTTTACTTTGAGTTAGATAACTGAAGAAAGCTCTTGATAAGTTCAAACGACCTCAAACAACAACTTATCTTCCAGCTTTTGAATTGATCATTTTCTCAGCTCTTCCCCATCGTGCTCATCTAGCAAGCTGTGAGACAATTAATCAGGAGGATTTGAAGAGTTTAGATGCAAAAGCCTCTAAGTGCCATTTGAAATTTTCCTCTAGAATGATCATTTTTATCAAGCTTGTATATTTAAGTTCAGTGATTTCACTTAAATGGCAATGATAATTACCTATTAATTGTTATTTAAGTGAAATTACTGAACTTAAATATACAAGTTTCATAAAAATCATCATTAAAGAAGAAAATTTCAAATGGCATTTAGAGGCTTTTGCATCTGAACTCTTCATTTGTAGGCTAATGTCCTTATTGTCATATATATACACTTTAATGGTGTCTGCATACAAGAATGAAATTATGTATTGCTACATACATTTTTGAAGCTTATTGATAATGTATTTGATCAATGTTGATTTTTTATTTCTCAAGGATGAGTCATGGAATGTCTCAAATATGCTTTGTGTTTTTGTTTATTTATATATATATATATATATATATATATATATATATATATTACATATTATAACATATTATTACATATTATTACAATTTAAAACAGTGGTTTTCTATGTGAATATATAGTGAAGTGTAATTTATTCCTGTGATCAAAGCTGAATGCCACATAATCCTTCAGAAATTATTATAATATGATGCTCAAGAAACATTTATGATTATTATCCATGTTAAAAACAGTTTTTGACATTTTTATTTCAGGATTCTTTGATGAATAGAAAGTTCAAAAGAACAGAACTGATCTGAAATGGAAAGCTTTTGTAACATTAATTACAACCATTCAAAAGTTTGGGGTCAGTTAGAATTTATTTTTTATTTTTGGGGGAAAGAAATTAGAAAATACTTTTATTCATCAAGGATGAGATTGATCAAAAGTTACAGTAAAGACATTTATAATGTTAGAAAAGATTATATTTTAAATAAATGCTGTTCTTTTTAACTTCCTATTCATCATAGAATTTTGGGGGGGAAATGGTAGACGACTGTTTTCAACATTGAAAATAATAATTTATGTTTTTTTGAGCATAAAATCAGCATATTAGAATGATTTTTCTAATAAAGGATCATGTGACACTGAAAACTGATGTGTAATCAGCAACAGTAATAATGTTGAAAATTCAGCTTTCAAATTAGCCTACATTTTAAAATATTAAAATAGAAACAGTCATTTTAAATTGTCATAATATTTCACAATATTACTGTTTGTCATTTTTTTTTTCATCAAATAAAGCAGCCTTGGTGAGCAGAAGAGACTTCATTTAAAAACATAAAAAAATCTTACTGATCTAAAATTTGTGACCGGTGGTGTATATGTGTGTGAGTTTGTTTTTTTTTTTTACTTTGACATGTATGTAATGCAAAGAAATAAATGCTCTATCGAGCCAATAGAGGTCACTATTAAGCAATACACTGCTTCTGAGAGGCACCGTCCAAAGACATAGCAGACAAATAGGCCTACCTAGATGTCGCTCTTAACGGGATAGCCTTCCCAAAAATGAATCAAATTTCCATAATTTACTTGCCCTTAGAAAATAATATTCTGGAAATGTGATATGATACAAATAACGCATTTAGGCATGTAAAATCACACTTTTAAAACATTTACAAACCATGCAGTTTGACTGAATTATTAATAAGACTTTACTAAAATTATTGTTTAATTGTGTCAGAAGAGATGGTGTTGTTTTTGCATCTGAAATAGTAAGTTAGAGCTGTATAGAATTTCTCATCTCTAAACCCATAGACGAGAGGACTTACAGCTCTAGAAGTGATACGAAGTGCTAGGAAATTTATTAATCGGACAGTCAGATATGCTTGAATATCATACCGCATAACTAAACTCTCAATGTAAGGACACATCAACTCAGCAGTACATAAAAACAGCTGCAATATGTGCAGGGAAATGGTGCGCTGCCCTTTTGATGCTGACTTCTTATTGTCACCAGATGCTGCACGTGCAGCAAGGTATATCATTATATAACAAAAGACTTCAATGATTAAAATAACCACAAGCCCCACAATGAACAACAAACCCCTAGCAAATTGATGGATCTTTTCCGGAATCATAATCTCATTGTGACAGTGTGTGAGTTGAGACAAGTATTCACGAGAGGCCGTGCTGACAAGAATGAACAAATCAACAAAGGGGGTTATGGAGCTCAGGATCCAAATCATTAAAATCACCATGATGGCTCTTCCAGAGGTGGAGATCGCATGATGTCGGAGAGGCATGCAAATGGCCACATAGCGCTCCACGCACATGGCTGTAATAGTCAGTGGTGCACATGCTGTGAGCACAACCATCAACATGCAGATGGGGATACAGAAATGCAGCGGTATTAAAACTAAGTTGTACGATAAGAGCACAACAAAATCTGTCAGACAAAGATATATTAGATTAACCAGGAGAGAGTGACCAAACAAGATATAGCGTGCCTCTGTTCTGAAAGTCTCTTTCTTGGAAAATATTAAGAGCATGAGGAAGATGAGGTAGATGAAGGGCCACACGAATATCTGTGTCAGCGCCAGTGAAATGTTCCTCCGGACGAGGTCAACTTGGACCAATTGTATCTGCTCATTGCTGGCATTCTGACTGGCCATTGTGCGCACATCTGGGAGAACATAAGACAGAAGTTAGACAAACAAAAAAGCACAGCCTATTTGAGACAAACCATGACTCATCCTTGAGAGATAAATAATCAACGTTGACAATATACTCTATCAATAAGCTTCAAATATTTATGTAGCAATAAAAAAACGTATGATTTCAGTTAACATAATTTCATTTTGTATTTATGCAGATACAATAGTGGGAAAAAAGTGTGAATGATTGACAATGTTAAGTTATGTTTAATTTACCATAATAATTTAAACTGTCCCAGTTAAATATAGAATTCATTGTGACATATATTCTCACTATTTATAATATGCATTATTAATACGTTACACATATGTAGCCATAAAAAGTATATTTCAGTTTGCATACAGTAAATGAAGGTCATGAAATCAGTTACAAATATCACCTTGCTTTATCACTTACTGACAGTAAGACTCTATTCTTGAGCCCTGGTCATGAAATGTAATAAATGTGCTGTGAACAAACATTTATATAGAGTTTGACAGAGTAAAACTCCTGTGGATCTACTTACTTGTTGACATCTAGAGCTAAATTTAGATTTGCTTGTCCATACCCATGTGGAAAAGGTTTGCTAAAAACACCTAACATAACAAACATAATATTGTAAGGGATATATACATGCTACAAAAGCCACATAGGCCTATATAAATTGCATAATATTAATGTATTTTTAATCATATATGTCATACAACTAAAGCCATAAGATTTTCATGATGTAAAAACATAGGAAAACAATGCCAATGTAACATGTCCACCATACACTCTCAGAAAAAAAAGGTACAAAAGCTGTCACTGGGGCGGTACCTTTTCAAAAGGTACACTTTTGTACCTAAAGGCTGCATATTGGTACCTTAATGCTCATTTTAGGTGCTAATATGTACCATTAAGGTACCAATATGCAACCTTTAGGTACAAAAGTGTACCTTTTGAACCGCCCCAGTGACAGCTTTTGTACTTTTTGTTCTGAGAGTGTATCTATTTAATACGTCTATAAAACACAGTGCAGTTTACCAATCAGTATAAGGCCGTACTTCACTCATGCTCTTGCTCTGATCTTGTTCTAAGTGGAGCCATATGCCTATGGTCAATGTATTGAACATTGACAATGTATAGAGTAGAAAACTCTTGACAGTAGCAGTCGGTGTGGAGTGGTGAAAAGGAGGATAAGGTATGTCATTGGAGTAATCAGGTGGGCATCCTGCTTCATCAACGTTTTGTTGATTGAAGCCACAATGTCTCCATAAGGCTCGACAGTGTACCCAGCGTCCCACCCCCCTCCATGCCATACCCTCCATATCCCGAATGAGTTCTGCATGGCAGGGGCTTCCTTCTCCCTGAGCCTGCATACCATCTCTCTTGCTGCCTATTTGGAGTCCTTACACGTGATCCAGAGCCAGTTACTGCTTTTCTCGGCAGCACTTGACATGGACTTTATGGCCTGTTGGAGACAACAGGCCATAAAGCCCCTATCATAAAGACATAAAGACCCTTCACCCCTATCTTTCTCAGCAAGTGGTGCACTGGTGACTCTGTGGCTCTTGTTCTTCTGGATCTGTCAGCAGCTTTTGATACGATCGACCACTCTATATATCCTGATATCCAGACTAGAGTATGATGTGGGGCTAAAAGGTATCGTCCTCCCGTGGTTCCAGTCTTATCTCTCGGGTAAAGTTAGGAAATTGCTCCTCTTCTGTTGCGCATCTAACCTGCGGCCTTTCTCAAGGATCTATTTTAGCGCCTTCTCTCTTTTCCCTCGACATGTTACCGCTGGGCACCATTCTGTGAATACATGGGGTATCTTTTCACTGTTATGCAGACGCCACTCAAATGTACGTTCCAATCAAGAGAAATGATCCCTCTGCCCTTTCATCATTTTTAGGTTGTTGATGAAGTAAAATTTTGGCTGGAGCAATTTATTTTTATTTTTTTAAATGAAAACAAAACAGAGATCATTGTTTTCAGGTCCACTGTTGATCCCCACCTTCGACCTAGCGGCTAAAGTGGAAATTGAGAGAGGAACAGGCCTGATTTTATATGTTTCTGTTTTGTGAGGCCAGCAGTCGTCCGTGAGAAGCTGCTGGCTTGCACTTTCATTTTGTTGCTGATAAATTTTATTATTAAAGTCTTTGAATGTTCGCCGGCTTCCCCCTCCTTCTTCCCACAACAACAAACCGTGTTACAGAGGGGGGAAAAAAGATATAAACCAAAGGGTTTAGAGCTTGAGGGACATAAATCACAATTATGATCCTTTGAAAAGGCCAGTGGTTCTCAACCATGGTTCAAACATATGTCATAGACTGTATTTCATTAAATGTTAGAGAACCATAATGCTCCATATGTATTTAAATAATGGAATTTGATCCAATTTATTTCAAAAAAAAAAAAAAAAATACAGATTATGACAAAAAATGTGAAAGTGTATTGAGTATCACACTTAATGGCCTTTGCATGTTTGTTTAGTAAATGTTATTATCACAGATGTATTACAGATGAAAGACATTAGGAGTCTTCAGAAAGAGAAAAAAGAATTATACATCAAATGCAAATGATAGATTAATGAACTTTTCCAACATGTGAAATGAAACGGAAATATTAGAAACAGAAATATTTATTAGATGCCAGAATGAACAATAATTTATGAACAATCTCATTAAACGTGTATACTGATCTCAAATAGTCTGCAATTGCATATAAATTGTTCATTACAAAAGTGGATCTTTTTGCAAATTTGTATCTACAAGCAGTCATGTTGTGAGAGGTCTCTTCCCAAGATAAATCTTGCAGTTGGCCAGACAATTTAAAACTCTCAAGCTTCATTATTAGAATATATCAACTAGGCAGGTGGTCAACCAAAACTGGAGTTTTGATACAGAAAAGGAATTTAGACAAGATTTTAAAAAATCCCAGAAACACTTAAAATAGATAATTATGTTTGTTTATCATTGTCAGATGAGATAACATTGTTTTTGTATCTGACATAATAAGCCATTGCTGCATAGAATTTCTCATCTCTGAACCCATAGACGAGAGGACTTACAGCTCTAGAAGTGACACTAAATGCTAGGAAATTTATTAATCGGACAGTCAGATATGATTGAATATCATACTGCATAACTACACTCTCAATGTAAGGGCACATCACCTCAGCAGTACATAAAAACAGCTGCAATATGTGCAGGGAAATGGTGCGCTGCCCTTTTGATGCTGATTTGTCACCAGATGCTGCACGTGCAGCAAGGTATATCATTATATAACAAAAGACTTCAATGATTAAAATAACCACAAGCCCCGCAATGTACAACAAACCCCTAGCAAAGTGATGGATCTTTTCCGGAATCATAATCTCATAGTGACAGTGTGTGAGTTGAGACAAGTATTCACGAGAGGCCGTGCTGACAAGAATGAACATATCAACAAAGGGGGTTATGGAGCTCAGGATCCAAATCATTAAAATCACCATGATGGCTCTTCCAGAGGTGGAGATCGCATGATGTCGGAGTGGCATGCAAATGGCCACATAGCGCTCCACGCACATGGCACCGATGGTTAATGGTGCACTTACTGCAATTGCTTCCGTTAAAATGCAGATGGGGATACAGAAATGCAGCGGTATTAAAACTAAGTTGTACGATAAGAGCACAACAAAATCTGTCAGACAAAGAAATATTAGGTCCACCAGGAGAGAGTGACCAAACAAGATATAGCGTGTCTCTGTTCTGAAAGTCTCTTTCTTGGAGAATATTATGAGCATGAGGAAGATGAGGTAGATGAAGGGCAACACAAAGATCTGGGTCAGCGCCAGTGAAACTTTTCTCCGGACGGGGTCAACTTGGATAAGTAGTATCTGCTCATCGCCACTGGCATTCTGACTGGCCATTGTGCGCACATCTAGGGAGAAAATTAGACATAAAACAAAAGCACATTTACTATAATACATTAAATATGTAAGAAATAAATAATCAATGCTTTAGAACAGTCCAAATAAGCTCCGTGTTGACATGAAAAACAACGACTGAACAAGTGTTCAGTTTACAACAATGTTGCATCAATGTTACATAACCTTGCTATACTATTTACAAAGTACTTGAGAGTATTCTTGACTCTGTCCTTGAGTCCTGGTCGTATCAGAGGAAACTTTACCTGCATGAGCCAAATGATGAAGTTTGCTGTGAACAGACATTTATATAGGGTTTGATAGAGTAAAACTCTAAAAGATGACACCTACTTAATTGATGACATCTAGATCTAAATTTAGATTTGTTTGTGTGTTGAGGATAGACATGGAGCCCTGAGACACAATCATGACATTAACAAGTAATATATGCAACACAACAGTTTTACATTGAGTTAGAGTGCGCTGCCTGTAACAGAATACAAATAGCCAAAGTATTTGAAGTTTACGAATTTTCTGCAGCTGCATGTCTGTTTGTTCCTTCCTTCCTTCCTTCCTTCCGGACTTCCTTCCTTCCTTCCTTCCTTCCTTCCTTCCTTCCTTCCGGACTTCCGGATTGTTGATTTATTAGCATACTGAGATCTATAATACGGTACACCCTTAAATGTGTTCTCTGTAATTGTTCTGTTATTTATTTCATGTTTTATTAATGTTTTTTGTTTTCTTTCATATTTGAACATTAATATGAAATTCACAATCCAGTCGAAACAAATGCAAATATGATGGGTGCATTTATGAGACCAAACAAAGGCCCTATGGTTCTCCAATGTTCGTGCTCCATATCTTGAGGTTGTGTAAGTTAGGATGTTAGTATGGACAGATTAGATTTATATAAGTATAATATAACATTTATATAAGTAAAATTCAAGTGGATGTTAAAAAACAGCTACATTTAGATTTGATTTTGTTTAGGGGACAGAGAACCGAGTACAACTGTCATGCTTAAAGTCCCCGTGAACCGGAAGTTGCAAACGATTTTTCTCCAGTGCTGTGACGTATTTCCAAGTGAAACGGAATATTGAACAGAGTAATATATTGAACAAGAATTACTCTTTTAGGGCAGGGTTTTACTCTAGCGCTCCTCCTCTCCATCTCTCGCTCATAGCAAACTAACGGTTTGAGGGGAGTGGTTAAGCGTTTCCCCACCCAAACTGTGAAACCTACGTCATCAAAAAAAGAAACCGTTCCAGACCGGAAGTAACTTTTCAGATTTTGATTAAAGATTACTAAGGTAAAACATTTTTTTAATATATATTCACTTGCACGAATTAATTGTTCACCACAAGACTAGTAATAACGCTAACGCTAGCGCTAACAAAGTAAATAGGTTCAATTTTGATTTCATGGGGACTTTTAACATACATTTTTTACAAAAATTAAATTTTATAAATTTTAAGTGTATGCAATAATTTTTATCTATCTATCTATCTATCTATCTATCTATCTATCTATCTATCTATCTATCTATCTATCTATCCATCCATCCATCCATCCATCCATCCATCCATCCATCCATCTATCGTCTGTCTGTCTGTCCATCCGTCTATATCCCATACATGCTGACTAAAAGAAATTGTGCACCCTCTGTGTTGTGTCACAATATGAAGCAATATGCTATCGTTGCATAACTACTACTCGTGTATTTGTCTGAGATAAATGAGTATCACAAAGTCCATAAACTATAACCACATAACTTTTCTTTCTTTACAGTAAAGAAAGTTTCAGACAACTATGGAAGTGTTTTGGGTGCTGTACTCTCTGTAGGCCAATGTTTGTTAAACATATTTACATCATTATAACAGACTGGTTCTTGGTGGTGGAGGTATCGCTCAGGAGACTAATCACAGTGACAAGTCATTAAATAAATATTTGCTTTGCAGCTTGGCTCAATGCAACTCGCAAAGGGATCAAGCAACTTGGCCTCATGTTGCCAGGTGGGATGCAATATTGCCAAACAATTAGGAAGCACAAATTACACTGATATGCAATAACTATGCACTAATAAAGCACATAATTAGTCTCACAGGATTTGACTCTGTGAAGATTTGGTCAACTGTTTTCTGTGATGCACATCTGATCCTTAGGGTTCTTTCTAGTGTTAAGAATGGTAGGCTTTCAGAAACATTAACTCATAAATAAAATTAATATTTGAAGACTGTTTTAGTGTAACATAAAAATCTGAATATTTAGCTGATATAACACTACAAATGTGTTTATTATTTTGCGCATCAAATAGGCCTAGATAGACCCGAGATTTTAAGTAATTCCGAAGACATTGTTCAGGTGTGTTTGATTAGTTAGAGCTAATCTCTACAGGCCAGTGGCCCTCCAGGAACGAAGACCCTTTACATTTTCGACCAATTGTGGGATGCGACAAAGTCACTCTTAGAAGAAAAGGTTCTATATAGAACCTTAAAAGGTTCTAAAGCGCTATGTATTTGGAACCCCTAAAATGCAATGCATGTGAATGATCACAAAATTCAAGATATGGTGGTTAAAAAATAATTAATCAATATCACACGAAGAGTGCCATTTCAGTTTTTATCCTCCAAAAATCTGCATGATTAAAATGTGATATTAAGTTACTACAACAGTTTAAAAAACAATAATTTAATAACAACTATAAAATGTTGCAGAATAACGTAATATGAATAATAGCCTTTAAAGAACCTTTGAGCCAAAAAGTGTTCTTTCTTGTCATTATTGAACCTTTTTTAGCATAAAATGTCCTTTGGAGTTGAGTAAAGAACCCTATGCTACATATATAGAACCCTTTTTTCTAAGAGTGCATGGGGTCTACAAAGAATGGTTAAAGCATGCAAAATAAAGCAAAATCTTATAGAATTTGTACAGGTGATTTAGAAATTCAATTACGAATGCTTTTTATACAGTAAAAAAAATGTCTAGGGTAAAAACAAATATATATATATATATATATATATATATATATATATATTAGGGCTGTGCAAAAATTAATTGCGATTAATCGAATCCAAAATAAAAGTCTATGTTTACATAATATATTTGTGTGTGCTGTATATAATTATTTTGTATATATAAATACACACACATGCATGTATATATTTAAGAAAATGTGTTATTCATGAATAAAATATTTATATTCATATAATATAGATTATGTATATATATATATATATACAGAATTTAAACGCAAATAATTCTTAAATATATACATGCATGCATAGGTATTTATATATACAAAATAATAATATACAGCACACACAAATATATTATGTAAACACAGACTTTTATTTTGGATGCGATTAATCGCAATTAATTTTTGCACAGCCCTAATATATATATAAAGATAGCTCTATATTTATGTGTGAAGGCTTAATTTTCTGTAATGTTGTTGTCTGGGAATGGTTGATTTAAACGTAAATATGTTAAAACTAAAAGGAACAAAGGCTTAATATTTTTAGCTAATATAATTTTAATACTTTTAGTTTGATCAGTTTAACATTTTCATCACATAGCGAGTAGCAGCACTTCTAGATTTTGACCAAAAACATAGCAGACTTGTTTTTCAAAGCCCCTAACTGCACCAGATCTTCTTTATGATAAAGCTTGCTGTTTGCTTTTAGTTGTTCGATGATTCCCTCGTCCCTCCTCGTTTTAGGTCAGTGCACTTCACAAAACAGACAGTGAGATACGTGTCTTGCTAGTCTAATGAGTGACGCATATGAATATGCAGACAAGCTGTCAATGTACTTTCGTCCCTGAGTACTTTGCTGCACAGCAGAACAAACAATACGGTAAAACTAGGCAGAGCACATGAGTTCATAGTCAATAACTGATATCTCTGTTAATGACCAGCCATATGAAACATCCAAACATTCGACAACTTACATCATTTTATAAAAAGATAGAAAGAAAAATACTTAATAACCACAAAATAACTTTACTAAATTGAAGGTAATTTATTGATAGGTTATAGAGTAAATAAAAGTATAAAAGTTTCCAAGTAATTAAATATTTCCTTTTTAGATTATAAGTTTTGCTATTGGGTCTTGTTATGAAGAAATTAGGTCTATAAAACCTTGGATACAACATTTTTTTTTTTAAATTACAACACACACACACACACTAGATAACTTGATTTTATTTATGGTTGGATTGTTTGGTTGTTAATTGCTATAATTATGCTTTGTGTTCATCTAGCGTGTATTTGAGTCGTCCTATGGGGAAACAAATCCCATTCATTTGTCATGAAGCAAATCTTCAGCAATATAAAAGCGGGCTACCCATCTGGCATCTCTGATCATCTTTTGATTTATCTTCCAACAGGTGAGTCAACAAGCGTGTGAAGTTTATTTTGTGAACAGAAGATCAGATGCAGATTTTCCAGTGAACATCACATTCGATTAGATCAAACTGCATCATTTTCCACATTCTAAACTAAACAAATGTCTTTTTGCTAAATTCCTTTCAGCCTTTGTAAAACCCTGGAAAACATGCAGAATCTGACAGAGCTCCCAGGAAACACAACATCCAGCAACAACCTTTCTGTCATTGTAAAGGTGTGTGTGGTGATCCCATTCTTCATTGCCTTCCTGTTCTTCATCCTCCTGACGTTGTACACCTTTGCATCTCACAGGCAGTTCTTTGACAGCTCCCGTTATATCCTCTTCACCTACATGCTGATGAACGACACCCTGCAGCTGCTCTCCTCTGTATCCCTCTTCTTGTTAGTGATGGGCGCTGTGCAGTTTGCGGTCGTCTACTGCGCACCACTGCTGTTTGTGTCTACTGCTACCTTCCTAAACACCCCACTCATCCTTTCCACCATGTCACTGGAGCGCTACGTGGCCATTTTCTACCCACTTCACCGCCCTGCCATCTGGAGACCGGAATGGATTTGGGTCATCATTTTAAGTCTGTGGCTCATCAGCTGCATTCTGCCCACTGTCGACTTTGTCTTGATGCGGCTCAAGCCGGGTGTAGATGTCCATTCGACCCCGGTGCTCTGCAAGAGCACCGTGCTCAATGCTTCTCCTATTCAAGCTCTGTTCAAAGTGAGCCTCAATGGGATCTTCTTTGCAGTGGTCGCCGTGGTCATCCTCTTCACATACATTCGGATCCTGCTGGAGACCCGTCAGATGCGGCAGGACCGAGTGTCAGTGAGGAAGGCTCTGCACACAGTGCTGCTTCATGGGTTCCAGCTTGTCCTCTGCATAATGGCTTTCTCACAACCCGTCGCAGAACTCTTACTTGTCCAGCATGTAAACTTGCCTCAGGCAGATATGTCTTTTATCTACTATTTCTGCTTCATCCTGCTTCCTCGCTTCCTGAGCCCGCTCATTTACGGCCTTAGAGATGAGAGCCTCAGAAGCTATATGAAGAAAGCCATGCCTGGTTATGGTGCACGTATTGACCCAAATAAAGAAGTTAAAATGGCTAAATGAGAGCAAGAACAACGTTGTTGTTGGTTATTGCTTTTAGTGACAGATCGAGCATTTAAAATCAATGTACATTCTGTTGTATATTTGACACACACCATCAAAAACTAAAGTTTCATATTTATATTATTTGATGGATAAACATATTTTCTAAAAACATAAATCTGTCAAACCAATATTTGATAATTGTGTTCACTAACAGATAATTCTTTATGTATTTTTTTCTCCATAGAGAACCTATAATTATAATAGGAGATAATATTTAAGATTTTTCTCCCGTTTAACTTGTGTACATTATTTTCTATAAATGCAGGCTGATAATATTTGACTGAAAATTACATTAATAATAATAACAATGGAACAAAAAGTGTGGGCTCACGATTACACTGATGTTGTAATTACATTTAAGTTTATGGGTTTTTAAAGTTTTTTAAATTTTATTTCAATGTTGGAAACATTGCAGTTTTGCTGCATGTATGGAAACAGTAATATTGTTTTTCAGGACTCTTTGATGAATATAAAATTTAAAAGAACAGCATTTATTTGTAATATAAATTGTATAATTTGTAGCATTATAAAAATGTCTTTCCTGTTTACAGTAATTAAATTTTTTTTTTTTAAATCACACTGACCCCAAACTTTTGAACGCTAGTGTATATGATCTCTACATAAATGTGGAAAATGTGTTCATAATCTAGTGTATGTGTATGTACCCTTATTATGTTTGGGCAATATTTTAGATCTTATTTTCCATGAAGATATGGTGGCTGTTTTACTAAAATAATTATGACCATTTATGATGCTAAATGTTGTCTGCACTGCTAATGTACTATGTGTGCGCATGCTAATTTTAAAGAACTATAAAATATATTACACAACACAAAAACAATTAAATTGTCATACTAAATTGTTGTTGCATGACTTTTTTTAAAAGAAATTTGAAATGGATAGCCGACTGCCATTTGAGGGAATAATTTCTACATGCTGTAAAAACATATCCAATACATACAACATCTTATATGGAAGATTAGAATTAGCATGTCCCATAGTGCATAGCAAATAGTCAAGTTTATACCAGGCTCTTCCTCATTCTACAGAATTACAGTGCCCAGATTTCCTATCACACACACCACACATCACAGCTTTTCAGCAGCACTATAAAGCATGCCAACACTTAGCATCAGTTGGTGTTTGGCCATGTCAGAGAATACGGACTCACTTAATTATCCAAGGATTCCATTCGTTATCTGGTCAGTTGAAGTTTTCCAAGTCATCGCCCTGACGATCGTCTTTGTCCGACCTGAAAAAGATAAGACTGCATCACTATCCATCGCATTATTCTGATATTATCAGCCAAAGTCTCTATAGTCACCTGCTATTGTGCCAGTTTCTGCCATTCTCACAATAAATTTACCAGTTGTTGATTTTACATCTGTCATCGTCATTGTGTCTGTGCCTTACAGTGACCATATGCAAAACATTCCTGCAGTTTATAGCATGCATGCTTTTCAGCCCAAATATTGCTTATAACACCTTGTTTGTGATGGGTATCTTTTGAGCTTAACATATATGAAAGGAGGATAAACCTGCCATAGCATTTTTAAGTAAAAGTTAAATGATAATGGTTTAATGAAAAGAAATTAAGCTAGAATCTCATGCTTGCATGCAAATATGCGTTTGTATGGTATTAAGAAGCCATTGCTACACTCTAAAAAATTGCTGGGTTGTTTCAACCCAAATTTGGGTCAAATATGGACAAACCCAAATATTGGGTTAAAAATGTAATCCAACATTTTAACCCAACTTCAACTTTCACTTTCAACTGTATTTTTTTTAAATACATTTTTAACCCAACATTTGTGTTTGTCCACTTGACCCAAATTTGTGTTGAAATAACCCAGCATTTTTAGAGTGTACATTCTGAAATGTATGTGCAATCACCATGAAAATATTTTAGTGTGTAGTGTAAATATATTAGTGTACAAACTACTAAATTAATTTTATTAGTAGTTCTAGTATGCTGTATTTCATATATGTTTTCTGTATTTTAGTGTCATATTATAATTTAAATACTTGCGTATGCTAAATTAAACATAAGCTTTTAAAAAGCACAAAGCTTCAAATTATGTGTTGGGGAAAAAAATAAACAAATAAAACAACATTCAAAAAGCCGGGGAGCATTTATGCCAACTTTGGGAAATATTGTAATAGCCAGCAGGACTTTCTTAGGGAAAAGTAGTACACAAGTAAATCAGACATACACAAAATATACATAAATAAGGAAATAATAATGAAGAAGTAATTTATTTATTTAAAAAAATGATGATATGATGGTGCAATGCAGAGAGTAAATGTTTATTGACCACACACAAAGCAAAATAGTTTGTGCTTATTAGAACTGTTGTGACAGTTAGATTATCTCCCTTGGGTCTAATTAGAGCACATAGTCATGAAATAAACATGTGTTTTCCTCCTGCTTTGGGTTAATTAACAAAGATAACTGAGTAGTCTCATGTTACATCAGTCCTTAGTGGCAATTTATGTACCAGATGCTCTTCCAAACAACAAAATTGCCTATGCTAAGCATAATTAACTACATAACATGTCAGGCCACTCTATGAAGACTTCATTAACTTTGCTTATTAACTTTATTAGATATAATGCCCTGCTAATACAGAATAATATCGCTACTGTCTAATCAGATTTGCATACAGTTCTTCATGATAACAAAAATAAGCATTTCACTTGCTCATCCGTTTTCTAAACTTGCAACAGTATATGGCCGTGTACCAGTCAACATTTCATGCTGGGGCTTGAGGTATGGGCCCTACATGGGTTTGTCCTTGGGTTTCATATATGTAAAAGGTTGAGTGAGTTAAGAACAGAAACATTTTGTGATTTTCTTAACATTTTCATTTTGGTAACACCTTCAAAAAGATAATTAGTTCATTGATCTTAGAGTTAATGTTAATTTCAACATTTATACATTACTAAAAATAAAAGATTATTTAAAGGACCAGAGCTGAGATTAACAGTTCGATTTTTAGAACTACAAGGATTACAATAAATTTAATAAATTAATTGCTCATTGTTCGCTAATTTTAGTTAATGCGTTAACTAATGGGAACTTATTGTGTTACCACATATTTGCTGAGGTCATGTTTTAGATCTGAGCGAGGCAATGTTTAACAAAATATATTTGTTATTTTGTGTTTTGACAACTGGACTAAAAATACCTATCAGGGTGTTGTCAGTTTGAATTGCTGAGTGAAATCAGCAAGATTATAAAACATGGCAAACATCTTTCATTTTAGAACATTTCTTGGACTTTATTTTATATTGATTTCTTATTCTCATTGGTACAAAACTACTCATCAAATGACTACTCATCATGAGTCAGAGAAAAAAAACAAACATGGTGTGTAGTACATTCTTACTTATGTTTTTTGCACCAACATATATTGTATTGTATTATATACAGTACATATTTTATATTTATATATTGGCTGTTTCTGGTTAGAACCAATATTTGCTTGATTCTAATCTTTCTCAATGCAACAATGCCTATAGGAATATGTCTTGTCATTTGTCACATTGGAAGCTGAGCTTTGTTACAGCACTCTCTCTCACGGCTATGAATCTAAAGCGCTATATGTAGCCATCTTTATGGCCCTGCGACACTCTCAGATCTGTACTAACTATGCCCAAAATAATCCACAGCATTCTGATCATCATTCTGATCACTTCACTTTTTTTATCAGAGGGAAATAGAGGTGAGAAAATTGGCCACCCAACTGTGAGAACAAACTATAGATAACATCAACAAATGTTTTGAGCACCACCTGGTCACTAGCACTTGACATGTAAACATTCACACACAGTTTGACTCTCAGTAGGCAAACACCTGACAAAACCCCCTCAACGAAAACTGTATTGAATGTCATCATGTTCACATTGAATGCCCAATATAATGTAGTTTACCTTAGTTTTCATATGATGTTGTGCCAGGACATGGAGATTTTAAGCAGATTCTTAAGTTTGTAATCCCACAACATCTATATGAAAAGGCACAATGCCAAAGCGTACCTTTTGGTTAAACGAGGAGCTGGGGGACGCCGGATAAATATACGTTTTACTCATTAGGCTTATTCATTAAAACGTGACATTTAGACGTTTTTTTTCGGCGTGGATCAAGGCAAATGAATCCTTTTCACCTTGAAAATAATACATGTTTTTTTGCATTTTAAACAATAGAACACTTCTCAGTGATCGTCAATAAAACAAAATTCTATTTTTCTCGGTTTAATGAAAACCAATAGGTCGTTATGGCAGAGGCGATTGCGTATAGAATAGGCCAACATCCGGGTATCTCTCCACTGGAACGTGTTAACGCAAACGTGTAAGTTTCACGTTTGAGGGGGTTAAACCGTGACATCTACACGTTTTCCAAAGTGGACCAACGTGATTATTTCACGTCTTGTCGTGATACCGGGTTACTCTGTGACACAGGTCCCGTTGTGCCTTTGCATTGCTCTGCTTTCAAATATTATGCATTCTGTGCAGTGCAGCCAATAATAAGATTGCACCTACAGATTTAGCTTTGCTGATGCAGACTTCTGTTAAGAAGACTATGAACTGTGCTGATAAAATTCTGTACAAATAAATCCAGACTTACACACACACACACACACACACACACACACACACACACACACACACACACACACACACACACACACACACACACATATATATATATATATATATGTATATATGTATATATGTATATATATATAAACAAACCTTTATTGCAAAGGTACCACAGTCAATGTACATTTATTTTCCATGTTAAACGGGTATTTAAATCACTGGACGCTCTCTCTCTTTTCTTACTAACTGATGGCACAGCCAATGGCACCATCTTGTGGCTGAAAAGGGATAGACCTTTTTACAGTCTAACTATGGGATAGACATGTGATATTGTTATCAAATAGTTTAGTTAACTAGTGTAATCAGAAAAGTTAACACTGAATTCAAATTAATAACGATATATTAACATATCAAAACTCTTCTATCCAGAGATTGATTGATAGGACATAAGTATTTAATTAACGTTATTAGTCATCATTGTTAAAACACAGAAGTTCTGATTATTTCAACCATTCAAATTAAAGGTCGTGTGTCGGGTGGTTGTGGCGTTCTGCAAAACAAGTTTTAAAACACCCTTTTTTCTTACTGACGAAATTTCTCACTGATGCGATCACTACGTTAAATCAGTACGTCGCCACTCGCCAGTGTACGCTTCACCGTGAATACTTCTGCATCACTCTGGTCAACAAAAAATATCTACCCTATATCTCTAATATAGCCTATTTATGGAGATGATTCCCCCCCCCCCCCCCCCCTCTCTCTCTCTCTCTCTCTCTCTCTCACACACACACATGATGATGATGATGATGGCTCGGCTCATCTTGGGCTAGCTGTGTGCGAGTGTGCGATTTTTTCATCTCCTGCGTGAGAACATGGTGAGCTATGAAGAGGAATTAAAAGCTGTGGAATAACAAAGTCAACGCGTTACTATAAGACCACTTAAACCGAATCTCTTATAAGATGTATTCATACTTTAGCCTCTTTATATTTTTATACGTGCTTGATATATCATTCTGTGAAATGTTTACTTCGATGATGAGCGTGAATCAAGCTGTTTTCGCAGAAAAACAACTAATCGATCATTTAAGAATATATATAGAACTGGAAATACAAAGACTTGATGATATTAAAAGGTAAGAGTAAACAAGCCTATGATCATTTATGAATGTATTAAAATAAGTCGTTTATTTAAGCGATCTACAGCCAAAACAATGGTCATAACTTACGTAGCCTACTTTTGTCTGAAACTGTGGTCACTGTGGCACATTTTATAAATGACATTTTGTGTGGTAGCCTATTCTTTCAGATGGAAATTGGCATTTATTTTGTTTCAAAATTAAAACGACCAAAGATGTATAAGCATTTCTGTAGGCTATCTTTTTTTTTTAAACATGGCAACCACCAACACTAAAAATGAAAAATGTATAGTTTTTTATTCAATTGTTTCAACTGTATTTCTTTTTACAAAATATGATATGTTAACGTTTAACCTTTGAATGAAATATTAACCATTCTTTTAGGTTCTTTTCAAGAGTCACATCATTACACAGTGACGTGTACTATGAGTCATCAGCTACCATAGCTAATCCAATTGTTGCATTCAAACTGATCAAAAGACTAAAGTCTGAATGGTTGAATGCTGCCTATACAAATGAACCCGAAGAGAATATCAAAGGTAATATACTGACCTTCACACACAGACACATTTAAGGAAAGCCTCGATCTAAAGCTTATTTATTTATTTATTTATTTTTACTTTTGGCTTGCTTGTCCCACTTAACTATAACCCTTCACAACTCCAATTCACTTTCCTTAAGCTCTTAGGGAGGGTTACAGGAAGATGGAAGTCAGCTTACCCAATCTTGAGGACCTTCAGGGGGCAGCGCAGGGGCTGATGAGACTTCAGGATGTGTATGATCTACGTGTGGAGGGACTTGTGCAAGGTCACTTCCAGCAAATCACAAATGGAAATGCTGTTGACATTTACACCCCCCCTGTGTCTGATACACTCTCTGCGGATGATTGTTTCCTTATTGGAAAGGTAAAAAAATGCTAAAATCTATTATTTTCAGTCTGCTTTAAAATATGACTGCAAAACAGAGCGGCTTTAAAGCTAATCATTTCTTATATGTCACAAGCTTAACTCTTAGAGGAGTCGACTGCCCACGCTGTCAATGTTTGGAATGTATTGTGAACCTCTGGGAAAGCCTCTGGAAAAAATGTGTTCCCGCTTGAGCACTCTTCCTGATGGAGCTTGCATATTTCTCAATTTGTTTAGGAACTGGTGCCTCTTTTGTGGTGAATAACAACTACCAAATGGTTACTCTTCTTTCTTTGTGCGTAAAGAAAAAGTCTGTTTTGTTTTGTCTTGTAATGAGCGCCATCTGTTCTCTTTATAACATCGTGCTATGTTGCCAAAGATTGCCAACTTCTTTTAACATTTCCAAAGGAATACATTAAATAACTAGTGACTAAAAAGTTTTTGACTGAAATCCCTTTTTAACTGTGTAAAAAGTGTTCTGAGCCCAAGTGTCAGACACGTGGGATGTCATCATCTTTTTTGCTTTTTTCCCCCCACATGTCGTATTTGTGTTATGTTACATCTGTGAGAGCTTTATGTTCGTAGGTGGCCTATGATTTGGAAGATTTCTACCATTCCGTGCAGTGGTTTGAGGAGGCAGTTCGTCTCTTTCGAGGAACAGAATGGAGTCCAGAAAATGAAGGCACACTTGAAGATGCCCTTGACCATTTAGCTTTCTCTCATTTCAAGGTAGGGTACCTCTTACAAAATAAATATGAATTTAAGTAAGACCCTGTTTACACCTGGTATTAAGATCCATCTTGTGTGATCAGATCTAATCCGATACGGGATCCAACACATTTTTTCAGATCACATTTGGAGGTATTCCAACATTTCATAGTGTATCATACCAAAGATAACAGTGAAAAAACACCTATTCAGGCACAAAAAAAAAATGTTGACATAGCGACAGGGTTAAACACTAAAATCACATTTTTTTTTACAAAAAACATTTTTGTTACTTGAACATTTAATGTGATGTACTAAAATAACTCAAATTGACATAAAAATTATAATAAAAACTACAAATTTTAACTACTAAAAATGACAAAAGCGCACTACAAAATTACTAAAACTTTAACTGAAATTAAAATGGTAAATAAAAAAGAAAAACCGTTTCAAAATATTCATTAAAACTCCCTTCTAATCACAATGGTGTTTTCTTAGTTTTAAATGTATTTTGTTTAGTTTGCCTTTCTTTGTATCATCTTTGGTGTTTCGCTTCATGTGAACAGTAGTTTTGAAATGTGTTTTTTCACAAATCTACAAATTAGTTTTAATTGATTTGGGGAAACTGAATAGAACATAAGCTGTGTGTGTGTTTGTGTGTCAGTATACTTCAATCATTATATAAAATGATAAAAGTATACTATCTATATATGAAAAATATAGATACTAAATTATATGAAATACCTTTTTTTTAGACTGGAAACATATCCTACGCCCTCAGTCTCTCTCGGGAACTACTGCTTCATGGTAAACCTCTGCAGTCTACTACCTGCCAATAAGTGAGACAGTGAAAGAAAAACTTATGAACTTTTTAATTCATAAATAAGAATTACTTTAAATTTAGTCTATATTGAACAACTATCATTTTTCATCACAAAGAAATTTCAATCTGTTCTTCAAGACCCTATGAACAGAAGGGTCTGTCTCAATGTGGAGAAGTATGAGAAGCTCCTTGATGAAAGTCCGCCTGTTACTAACCAACGCTTGGCTTTGAAAAGGGCTGACACCACTTATCTGAGAACCAGGAATGTCTATGAGAAGCTCTGCCAAACAAAAGGATCTCAGGTATCATTCCTCACTATGCTGCACAAACTGTGATCTAGACAGTGTATTGTAGTGTTCATCAGAGGCTTTATCTTTTTATTCCAATCTATTGTTGGAAAATATTATAAATAATTAAAAGAGAAAGTATTCACACATTGCAACTCAAAATTAATTTCAATTGATGATTACAGTTTCTAAATGGAGTAAACTTCCATAAGGCTATTATAATATGGCATCCATACGTCTATTTAATTCTTCCTATCATAAAAAAAATAAAATAAAATAAAATAAAATACAAAAAGCAGCCAAAGTCAAAAAGAGATTTGGCAAATCTTGTGTGGACCTTGGATCCTCATGGAGCTACCTGTAGAAAGTTACACAGCAATGTAACAAAATTAATTATTTCAATTTGGGAGCCTGGAGGAATCCATGTGAAACAACGACCTGCTTTTTCTGCGCAAATAGAGACACCAAACGAAGCTTCAATATGTTTGTTTTGGCTGTAACTCAGCTGGACAATAACACATTGACTCAACCAATGGTGTCAGTTTGGTACTTGTCTGTCATATGGAAGGCAGGGGAGTCTCTGAATTTTGTAAAATATGTTATAGTGTTGTCACGTTTGGTTTTGTTCATGTTCTTGTTTCCTTGTCTTTTATTTTGTAATTCTCATAGTCATGGTTTTCTGGTTTATCAGGCGATTCCCTTATCCCATCATGTAACAGATCCACTGGAGTCGAGTGTAGACGAACCCAAGTGCCGTTTGATTTAAATCCAAACATGAAAAAAATACCAACTAAACAAAGACTTGACTTCTTAAACATAAACACAACTCAACAACAGCAGTCATACTTGCAATGCTCAACAAGAGACAATGGAAAAATGAGGGCTATTTATATTAATGATTTAACAAGACACACCTAAAAGCAATGAACCAATGAGAACATTACACATGAACATGGGAAGTTGGGATGGGAAACGACTTGCTTACGACACAGCTTAATGCTCATTGGTTTAAACAACCGTGATGTATTGTTCTCTTTTAAAATGTTTGATTTTAAAGCTCTAATATCATGTTTTATGTGTATACGTATGTTATGGGTGAATAAACTCTCTGACAGTGCGATATGGGTTATTATGTGATGTCATTTTTGTTAAAACAATATATAAAAACACATGTCTGTATTAAAGAAAAAATGATTGATAAACACATACATTCCAATTAGAGTTAATTAGTTATGTTATCTTAATTGAAATACCTGTGTTTATGTTTATCAGGTAAACACAGTCTTGTTGCTAGTCATAACTTAAATGATTTGAAGCCTGTTAGGAATATTTATGTTTCAGAGTCTTTAGAAATAATAACACACTTTCTTTTTACAGCCAAAACATTTTGAGAACCCCAGGTTGTTCTGTGACTATTTCGACAATGGCAACCCTGGTTTACTTCTGCAACCAATTAAAAGAGAGCTAATCAGCCTGCACCCTTATGTTGTGCTCTTCCATGATTTTGTCACTCGACCTGAAGCTAAAAGCATCAGAGAATATGCAATGCCAGGGGTGAGTGCACTGTTTGCATGTGGAAACATACAGAATTGTGTATGCAATGAGTAATAAGCCTTTGATTTAATGCACATGCAAGAGTGAGTGAATTTGGATCAGAACTCTCCAAATAACTAAGAAAGGTTTTTTTGAGAATGTTTTTCCTTTTTAATTGACAATTTTTGGATTGAGGGGAAAATATTGGCAGAGACTTCAGCTCTCATTTGTTGCCAGTTCTCAGCTGAGGTTGTTCTGCTTTCATTTTTTTTTTTAAATAATTTGTCTCAGTCACCAGTAAAATCAGTCACTTTTCATCTTACGGCATGCCAGTTACTGACTGGCTCAACACGAAGAGACAAAAGAGTCTGTATAAAGCCATTTTCTACAGAGAGACAACATTTTGTGTGCTAGTATTCCCTCCTTTTCCAGACATATTTAACCATACAACTTAAGCCAGCTTCGAACTGAGCTGGAAAGAAGATGAATAGCACATTACGTGAATAAGTCATGCGGTCGGAATCAACTGTGCTCACAGCTCGTCAGTTATTCCACCCAGAGTGTTTTTGCAGGGGCAGACTGAGCATTAAATCACGTTTCCGTCATTGCTTTTTTCCTTTCTTTCTTTCTTTGTCCCTGCCAGTAGTTAAGTAATTTTGTTCCTTCCTGGAATTCCCACATAAAAGAAACTTAAAAAAAAAAAAACTTATATATTTTAACTTTTTCTAGTTCTCATACTGTTTCTCCTTTCAAATGTGTACTTTTTTCTTCACAGTGAAAAAATGTATAAAAAATATTTAAATGTGAATGTTCATGTTTTCCTCCAGCTTAGAAGATCAGTGGTGGCATCAGGATTAAATCAGGCCACTGCGGAATATCGGATCAGCAAGAGGTACAAGTCATTTTTTGTTTATAGGCCGAATGAAATCCAAGTTATATCATCTTTATACTAGTGTACTCCTACATTCAAAACCAACATTTCTCAATGGTAATAATTAGTCCAATTTCCAATACAGTTTTTTACAATCACTTTGCTACTATTTACAAAACCTTGATGTCATTTTTCAAAACTCTAGACACAAAACTCAAAATGGTTACCACTTGTAACACTGGCTGTCTAATGACAAAGTGTGTGATATATTGATGCAAAACACTACAGTACAATCACAACAGAGGTTTATTGGAATCAAAGCAAAAATATATAATATAATGCTACATCCATGGATATTGTTGTCGAATTGGTTCATGCTCCACGGTAATTGGTGACAATGAATCTCTTATCTTGACTTGAAACTTTCATGATTTACTGTAAACATGGACGATTGTGGGTCTGTTTCCATTCAACTATGCATTAAGAGTACTGCAACAGTTACTTATCATTTTAAACAGTTGTATCAATTGATCGTTAGATCATTGTAAGGAAATGAACATACACTCATTTGAAATGTAATGTGTGAATTGCCTTTTGAAATAGTAGTACTTTGATGTTAAGTTGTGTCATATTGAACAGGTGATTTTTGTTGAATGAACAAATTATCTAAGTTGTATGTGTATTGTATCCAAGCAATTGAGAAATTTTTTAAAGTTTTGAAAAATGTGCATTTTTATCATTGGTTGTGAGTTTTGTGTCTAGAGTTGTGAAAAATGACATCAAGGTTCTGAAAATAGTAACAAAGTGATTGTAAAAAAAACTGTAATATCCCCCTTTTTTTGGTGTGTGATTCAAATTTTTGTCAATGATCTTTCAGTGCATGGCTTAAAGAGTCAGTCCATGAGATTGTGGGAAAGGTGGATCGACGCATAACTATGGTCACTGGGTTGAATGTGCATCCTCCTTATGCTGAATATCTCCAAGTGGTAAATTATGGCATTGGAGGACACTATGAACCTCATTTTGACCATGCCACAGTGAGTAACAATTTTCTTTTATTCAGAAATGTCCCAAACATTCACACACATTTAAGGAAACACATTTACAATAATTCAGATATAAAATATAGATATACTTTCCAATAGAGAGGTTTCCTACTTATAATGTATCTTGTATATACATTTTCAGCTTTGACGCATATCCATTGTGTATACTGTGACTTTTTACAGCAGAAGAATGTTTAAAGTATTTTTATTTTTATTGGCAGTCTGACTCGAGTCCATTGTACAGGCTAAAAACTGGAAATCGAGTGGCTACATTCATGATATATGTAAGTCAATAAATAGTATAGGTCTTGGTTGCTTTCTTTCTTAATTAAAAGACAATATCTACCCAATGTAGTTTTGAGTGAGGAAGTAAATAAATGTGTTTTGTAAGCATTTAACCAAAGTTAATTTAATACGATTTGAGTAAACCACTTTACAACATAATGATTGTTTTCTTTTTTAGTTGAGCTCTGTGGAAGCAGGAGGATTCACAGCCTTCATTTACGCTAACTTCAGTGTTCCAGTAGTGGAGGTACAAAATTAAATATATCATTCTCACAGATTCACTAAAGACAGAAGATAACCAGACTTCACTCTGCACAGCTTTCAGAATGACACGTCCTACAATTCTGTAATAATAGATTGTTTTCTATTGAGCTCAGACAGTTTGTTGGATATCCTGTTACAACAAAAACTTTGGGTTTGGGAGTCAGTGTTGTTTCAATAAATGAAGTGTTGGTGAAACCTGAGAGATTTTGCACTTTCACCTCAAGGCACTCAGGTTTTCACCACCCATTAAAGGTGTCATCTGTAATAATTGAGGTAAAAATATCCAAAAAATGAGCTACACGCAACAAAAGAATGAGAAGAAATAAGTGCAACGATGTAATTAAAAAACTGACAAGTTATAGTGCTGCCGAGATATAAACCTAAATTAGCATGCTAAATTACTAGCCCCGGCCCGGCAGGTGTCGTAATACCAGTTCCGGCCATGGGAGGCGGTATGCAGGCGGGCAACGTTACCACCAGCCAAACAGCAGTACACGAGTGAGTCGCGCTCGCGCCGGCTTGTGTGTACTTGAACCTGATGTCAGTCGTGTGGAAATACAGCCCAATACTACATTTCAGTTCAGGGAAGAGTTAAAAAAATGATTGGTCGATATCACGCATGAGGAATACATTCAGGTAAGTTGTAGCATACTGTATCTTTCAACATTGTTCGGGTTCTTTTTCCATTAGCTAGTAGAGACGATCGGTTCACGTGCGCTAGGGATCTCTGGTGTAACATGTACAAGCGCCAAAACGGTATTTATTGTTTGAATTGCATAATAAAATTGACAGAATCTAAGAGCTTAACTAACCTGCTTGCTAAGTGTTAATTGCATGTGTCTCACGGTGAATTCGTGAGAGTTGGCAGCTTTGAATGGCGCTAGGTTGATCAACATCAGCGAATGCTGTCTGTCAAATTAATTCAAACTAACAATAAAAGTGTAATATGAACAAAAGGAATACCGTAAACTTAAAATAATAGCCCGCAGGCTTTTATTTTCCCATATCGTCGAAATGCAACAGCTTGTTTTTGAGACAGGCGTCTATGAGTCGGTCTTCATCATTTAGTGTTGAGATGTTGTTCATTGAGTCTCTGATCTCTAAAAATCTCCAAATGCTCCATGTAAAAACTGCGGTCTTCCGACCTTTTACTATCGTGACAAATGATTTGAATAATATGCGGAGAAAGAGAGCAAAACAGCGCTCGCTTGTGTTGTTTGAAGACGTGAGTGCGTGCGGCCGCGGCACAACACATTTTCTGGAGGTATACTGCCCCCATCTGTTATGGAATATGGATTATTTTTTGATTTTTAGTTCCAGATGGCACCTTTAAAGGGATGTCATCTCTGCACAACCTCTTGCAAAAGAAAAAAAAGGAATATACATTGAGGTTCATAATCCAGGATTTTGGCTGTTCAAAGAAGGTTTTAGACTAAAACATCATATAACTCTATTAAGAGTTTTCTTTATTCTCTGTAAGGAGTGTTTCCCTTTTGAGAAAGGTTCACTCTTATTGCGTAGCTATACGCTATGGGAAAACTCCTTTTCTCTAGAATATTGTAAACTTTATTTTAAAAAACAGTGCATCTGCACAGCGAGCACAGTGCAGGCTGTCTAAGAGCACTGATTGACTGGGCTGCGGCGAAGCAGCAAGGACGAGCAGAGGAATGCAGTGATCTGCTATAGCAACTCAGCGACCGGAGGCCTTCTGCTCAGCGTTTCCTGAACATGAGCTCATTTCACTAGGGGCATGGCTTTTTCATGGGCATGGTCCGGTGGGGTATCAATTGAGGACATTTGTGTGGCGGCCGGCTGGTCTTCGCCATGCACATTTGTAAGATTTTACAACTTGTGGCGCTTTTCCACTGCTGGTACGGCTCAGTACGGTTCGGCTCGCTTCGCTTTTCCACTGCATGGTACGACTCGGCTCGGCTCGACACGGCACAGCTCGGTTCGCTTTAGCTCGGTTGCTTTTCCCCTGCAGTTAGTACCGCTTTAAAGTGGGTGGGATTATAGACGGTTCGATAACAGCGGTGGCTGTTACTGGCTATTTAAATCTAGCGGGTTTGGTTTCTCTTGTCGATGTCTATTGGTCGCAAATACAATGACGCTAGTAGTGACGATTCTGTATGACCAATCAGTGATCTGCAGTGTTTCACGTCACATTTTAGTACCGGCATGGTACGCTTGGAACCTCATCAGACCAGGTACCATTTAAAGCGAGCCGAAGCGAGCCGTACCATACCGTACCGTACCATGCAGTGGAAAAGCACCACAAGTGAGCCGTACTGAGACGAGCCGTACCGTACCATGCAGTGGAAAAGCGCTAAAGCGTGCCGTACCGAACCATGCAGTGGAAAAGCGCCATTGGATTTTATTCCTTCGAGGGCCCTTATTCATCCGGACCCCGTTGGATTCTGGCTTTAGTTCTAGTATAAGTCTTGAGCTTCTCAACTCCAGGCAGTAGTCAGAGCGAAGTCATCAGCTAATAGCACAGCGTTTTAAAATGGGTTCCCATAGTGCATAGCTACGCAATGAGTGAACCGTTCTTGAAAAGGAATGTACTCGGTTACAAACGTAACCTCGGTTCCCTAAGAGATAAGGGAAGGAGTATTGCGAAGCCGGCCGTGCTATTAGTCAAAGCGTGCTTCAGTCGATTTAACCTGATTCGTATGGCGAGATGTTTTACTTATATAGTCAGCAGCCACGCCTATTCTGGCACGCTTTGGCGGGAAGTGCCCTGATAGGTTCGCGCGTCCTTGCTGCTTGAAAAATAAAGGCTTCAATATTCTCAAGAAAAAGAGTTTTCCCATAGTGTTTAACTATGCAATACTCATTCCCATATCTTTCAGGGAACCAAGGTTACGTTAGTAACCGAGTACGAGTTTTCAAAACATTTTCACTTTTTTATGGTTTCTAGAATGGGGCTCTCTTCTGGTGGAATCTTCATAGAAATGGTCAAGGAAATGGTGACACTCTTCATGCTGGCTGCCCTGTCATTGTTGGTGATAAATGGGGTATGATTGTTGTATCACATGGTGTCTTGTTTACCAACATAATGAAAGGACATTCATTTAACAGACAATCATAACTAAAGCAATTTAAATTACATTTAAGGTACATTTGATTAATTCATTCCCTGGTAATTGAACCAATGACTTGCTGTACCACACACTACGGTTTGAACTATAGGAATGCTCAGGAATGCAACAGTAGATAATAACTGTGTAAAATAATATTTAAAAAAGGTAAAAGGAAAAATGTGAACCTTCAATGAATTGGGAATGGTTAATTGAGCTTTTTGGGGTTATTTACTTATTTACTCACCTGTTAAGCTTAAAAAAATATCAAAGATGTCCTTACGTGTGATATATTTCAAGGCTTTTAAAAAGGGTCATGAAGTGAGAATTAAATTTTCCTTGATCTTTTGACAGTTAAGAGTTTGTTACACTATAAAAATACCCAGTAAGTTTCAAACCTCCTTTTTATTCCAAAAACGGCATTTATTGAAGCCATGGACAGAAAACAACAGGATCTCAAAAGTGGCGACTTGTGATGTCGTAGCCATAGGGAAGTTGTTTACGACGCCAGGCACGTTCAAGTCACTTTTATCAGAGTAAGATGGCGATTTACATTCTTTTACATTTTTCAACTCATAATACAATCTTTATGCGATGACTTGAACGCACCATAACATGTTTTTATTCCAATGCCGGATCTGTGATTACTGACGTGTAGGCTAATCAAGTTCAGACAGATAATCTTTCTCCCAAAAAACTGTTTATGCATCAGTAAATCAAGCCAGTGACTAAAAGATCAACTTCACATCGTTTATGTTAGTAGGATGAAAATAATCTTATTTAAACTGTGATTATACAGAAAGTGATCAAAGAACGATCCCTTTCCAATCGTTCAATCACACAATGCAAGTTTATCTGGACACTTGCCAAAACTCGTTATGAAATCAATGACGCTGTGTTACCCTGCACAACAAAGCTCTTACTGTATTTACATCATGCTTGCATTGTTATTTGGTGAAAGCATTCGTAAAAGTGAAGAAATTGTGTTGCAATGATAAGATATTTTCATTCACGCGATCAACGACTGTCTGTCATCTGCTCAATGCTCATCACTGAAGCCTTTCATGTGATGAAAATACTTTAAAAACTTTTCAAGATTCATTAATCTCGATATCTGTAATAGTACAAAACAATAATAATACAATTTTAATGTAAACATCATACTAACATTACAAGGGCACCGCATGAAACATTATGAAAAAATAAAATAATCCAGTTCATGACCCCTTTAAAGCCATAAGCTTCTGTGAGGAACCCACCAATATAAAGGCATTCACTGTCTTTTCTTTTCCAGTTGCCAATAAGTGGGTTCATGAGTATGGCCAAGAGTTCCGACGTCGTTGTAGCCTTAATCCTGAGGAGTAAAGGAAGCATGAGACCATTTAAAATACAAGAGTCAACCCCCTTAAAGGAGCAACAATAGCAAGTGAGAAAGTGAAAGGCTGAGAATAAAGAGGTAAAGCATTTAAGCATGTAAAGCATGCTTGAATGCTTGTGTGTAGGTTTGGTTTGGCATGCAGCCCAAAGGGCAAGCTGACCTCCTGTTCCTGAATCCCAAGATAAACACCAGAATGTTTACTGAAAATGGAAAGTACAGATGTTTACATGGGTACCTGATGATAGTTCGTTTTGATGAGTAATTTGTGGTAACACCTATTTTGTTCCAACAGCAAACAATATATAAAATATATAATTTTAATAAATTACAATATACTTTGAAAAAGTATAATAATTTACCTGATTGGATGTTGATGAAAGACCTGTGTAAATCTGGTGCAACTGTATGTTGTTTATGGTTGCAAATCAACTTCCGTAAAAGTTCCATAAATGTTGTAAACATAAATAAATTATGAAATGAGATGAACCTTTTCTTTGTGAACTTTTTTTTAAGTATTTAATTAATTAGCCTTTTTGGATTGAATTTTCATCAAAATAAATGTATTGTTAAATATATTACATTGCCATGATATAGAATATAAAGATAGTAATAGTACACTGCTTGAAATGTAATAATAGTGGTGTGACCGTGAAGACGCTGGATGCAAAAGCAAGTAAACTATTTTATTGAGAGACAAGATGACAGTAACAGGTCATACAGACCTGTATTACCAAACTTTCTTTTTTTTCCTCATATAATCCATAAAACTGATTTAAAATTTACTGCAGAATTGAATACGGCTGGTTACCCCACATGACAAGTGGTCGCACCACATGATGAAAAACAGCAGGCAATTAAGACTATTCAATGATTTTGACAGTTAAAACACATTTAATGAAATTTCATGAAGAATCAGCAAATCCATTTCATTTGACACATATCATAACATTAACAGTTTCCTCACTATTTCATTTGACACATAACCATCATATTAATATTTTCAATACTGATGCATTAAACGCTTGGACATGACATTGAACAGCATTTTCTTTTTTCATTTTCATTTCATTAATCACTTAAACATACAATGTTTGCCTTTTCATTACTATTTTCATTTAACAGTTGAACATAGCAGTAGAGCCAGACCGATATTATCGGCCGATATTAGGCATTTTCCAAACTATCGGTATCGCCAGTTATAATGGCTGATAAATGAATATTTCAAAAATAAAATAAAAATGGACAAAACACGCTTGAACCATATCATGAGTGTTGGAGTTGTATAGTTTGTCCACCAGAGGGCACTCTACACCGTTCCTGTTGGCAACACTCGTTGAGTTGGTCACGAGACATACATTGCCTGAATAACAATTAAAAGAACATCTCCATCAGTTCTCTTAACTCAAATAAGCAAGACAAAATTTGTGACTATCATGTCTAGTTTTGCTGCTGTTAAATAAGCCGAGAGTGAAGCGGAATCAGCTAGTAATAGACCATTTCACAAGATGTAAACAACACTGGTCCAGAAGCACTTCCTGTTTCAGTTTTTTAACACTACATAAAAGCTGGGATAAAATACAACCAACAGAACATTTAAAACTGAATCAAAAAGTTAAACAAACATCTTTAAGATGTTTTCTTTACATGTGAAATAAAGAAAACAGTTACAAACTGAAACAGGAAGTGTTTCTGGACCAGTGTTGTTTACATCTTATGAAATGGTCTATAGTTACGTTACGTTGTTACAGTGTAGTTGACTGACTGTCCTTTTAACTTTTGACAATGTGACTGAAGTATTTCTTTAAAAGCACGTGACCGTTATAGCAATGATACGCTATAACTTCATTTTCTCTCCTTGGCCTGTCATCTCTCCTTGGCCTGTTATATTGAAAATGTATGTTTTACAATTTGCAGAATGATGAATAAATTATGTCTCATCATAGACTAGCTTGCCAACCACAAAGCTAGCTAATGCCACTATCATCAGTCTGTTCTGTTGTGACAATAAAAGAAACAAGTTTCTTTTTAAAATGCATTATCATATTATTTTAGTCAAAACTCATAAATAACTACAAATAACTAATGTTAGGGAAATCTGTTAATGTTTTGTTGCATGTTCCTGAAAAAAAAAAAATTATAATAATAATAATATCGGCCGATATATCGGAATATCGGATTTTAAAACCAACAAATATTTGTATCGGTATTGGCCTTCAAAATCCTTTATCGGTCGGGCTCTACCATTCTGCAGACACATTGAACAGCATTTTCCGATGCCTGTAGCGAGCAGTCTTTTCTTTGCTTGTTAGTGGGGCCATCTAGAAAAAAAAATATATTTAAACATACAGAGTTAGAAAAGGAATTGGAAAAAGTAGAATGAATGCTTACTTACTATTCACACATTTCTCTGATAAAAACATAATAATCAAAAAGAAGTAAGCTGAATCAGTGGCGGTCACCCCAGATGATGTTTTCAAGTTTGATCAAGTATAACAGGCTAATGCTTAGCTATAGAACCCAAGCTAGCTTATTCTCACCACATATCACTGACAAATTTACATCAAAAACAAAGATTTGCATATAAAATAATTTACAGTTTTAGGTTGGTCGCCCCACATGATATCAAAATGTGACGTATACACTGCTTTTAAATAGGATTTGTTTGTAAAAATGAGAGTGACTACTCACCTGCTAGTTGTCTCTGTAGGACCCTCACCATGAGGCTGGCTCATGCAACATCCTCTTTGAGATGATTATCAAAATATAAGTCCCTTATTTGTATTTTCTTGATGGTCGCCCCAGATGATATTTCAGACATTTAACATCTTCGGACAAGATTTGTTTGTTTATTATGATTGAAATGTGTGTACAAAATGTTTCATAACTTGGTCAATCAATGGAAAACAAGTTTACAATTATGCCAAATAGGGTAAGGATAATATTTACATTATTTTAGTTTGATTAAAACCAGTTTTCCAAACAGAAGTCAAGGCCGGACGGTCGCCCCACATGATGTTTTCACACTTCAGGTGGCAGAAAATGCCAATAAACCAATTATTTTTAAAGAAATAAGAGTGGGCATATACATAAGGGAGGTGGTAGATATACATGTTATAATTTTATTCATTTTAATGTTTATTAATTGGTAAAAAGTTCTGTCGGACAGAAAAAGCAAGCGTCACGTCTTTGACCCATTAGCAAATGTAACGTTAGTGGTGGGTTCACTCACACACACATTCACACGTTTCAGTTTACTCACGGTCACATTTTACGGAAAAGAAAAAGATGTTGCAGGCCTTTTTGGTCTTGCAAAACATTGAGTGCGGTGAACAAACACTTGAAAAACATTGAGCGTCGAAAACTTCCAGCTGATCATGTACGGTGCGATTAACCGTCAGTTCCGCCCAGCAAAACACCACGGTGGGTAGCTAGCGGCTAACAGGTAACGTTACCTCAGATCAAGGCTCGCGCTCCGTCTCTCGCGCTCCGTCTCTCACGTCAAACGGGTCTCCGGCGTCGTTTCTCACTCATTCTCTCGGTTCACAAACATCTCGAGTCCGCGGTCCACTTCTTTGAACCGATCCTCTCGCAACCGATTCACGAGTTACCAGCACTTTTTAGCGTCTTATTTTTTCTTCTCCCGTGCCCGTGCCTGCGTCTCGTGCTCCACACGGGTAGGTACAGCTGGAAGCGCGGGAAAAAAAAACTAAACATCCAGCACTTTCGCACACCAGGTCACGTGTATCTCTTCAGCCGAACACTATCAAATGACTAAAATTAGTAACATAAAAACAGTAAAAATAGAGTAATAAAAAGTTAAACTGCCTAAAACATCTGCCAATATTATTTAACTAAATAATATAAACTTTAGTTTTAATTACTGTCCTGAAATAAGAATTACCAAATATCGATCTCCTTTTAATTACGAAAAATGAACTGATATTTACTTATTTAGAAATCAGGTGTCCCATTATTAATTGCAAAGTAAATAATCGTTACTTTTTTTTAAACTCACTTTTAAGAGTAACAGAGATTCATCATAACCCACCGACTCCCATTGAACTATAATGTATGCATGTATATATTTAAGAATTATTTTGCATGTAAATACTCTCTCTCTCTATATATATATATATAATATACATAAATTATATTATAAATAAATATAAATATTTTATATGTGAATAACACATTTTCATAACACATACACTCACCTAAATGATTATTAGGAACACCTGTTCAATTTCTCATTAATGCAATTATCTAATCAACCAATCACATGGCAGTTGCTTCAATGCATTTAGGGGTGTGGTCCTGGTCAAGACAATGTCCTGAACTCCAAACTGAATGTCAGAATGGGAAAGAAAGGTGATTTAAGCAAATTTGAGCATGGCATGGTTGTTGGTGCCAGACGGGCCAGTCTGAGTATTTCACAATCTGCTCAGTTACTGGGATTTTCACGCACAACCATTTCTAGGGTTTACAAAGAATGGGGTGAAAAGGGAAAGGCATCCAGTATGCAGCAGTCCTGTGGGCAAAAATGCCTTGTTGATGCTAGAGGTCAGAGGAGAATGGGCCGACTGATTCAAGCTGATAGAAGAGCAACTTTGACTGAAATAACCACTCGTTACAACCGAGGTATGCAGAAAAGCATTTGTGAAGCCACAGCATGCACAACCTTGAGCTGGATGGGCTACAACAGCAGAAGACCCCACCGGGTACCACTCATCTCCACTACAAATAGGAAAAAGAGGCTACAATTTGCAAGAGCTCACCAAAATTGGACAACTGAAGACTGGAAAAATGCTGCCTGGTCTTATGAGTCTCGATTTCTGTTGAGATTTCAGATGGTAGAATCAGAATTAGGTGTAAACAGAATGAGAACATGGATCCATCATGCCCTGTTGAAAACTGTGCTTGAAAACTTAAAACTCATTTTAAGTTTTTTTGATTGAAGTTTCTGTTGCAACATCGAGGTCTAAGATATCTGGTATGCTGAGGAATTGAGGGCAATTATTATTTGTAACAAGTTGTTTTGATTTTGCAGCCTTGGCTAAATGGAAGAGACTAGATAATAATTGGAGATGTCATCACTCTGCTGCAAACGCTCCTTCAATGTCATAAACATCAATTCCATATGACAATATTAAATCTGAAGAATGATTACAACTGTGAGAGGGTCCTGACACATGTTATCTATCTTTAAAACTTTAATAAAGTAAAAAAATGTGTACAAATGCCAATCCCAATTTTCATTATGTTAAAATCACCAAGAAAACCTTTATCTGCAAACTTTATCTGGTGGAAAAAAATGTTCACACCCCAAAGTGTACAACTAGAGAACAAAGCCATAGCAAAATTTGAGATGTCGATGATGGCATTTTATTGAAATTTGGATAGGCCACATAAATGGAAATAAGAGGTTTGAGACAATAAGACAAACACCTATATACATTCCCTTCACTGTGGAGAATACA